ACCCCAAACAGCCCCTTGCCACCCTTGCTCCCCCGCCAGGGCCCAGCTGAGTGGCGCAGTGTGCCACAGAGGGAGAGGAAGAGGGGCGGGGCGCTGACGTACACGGCCAGGGGGCGTGGCCGTGTACATCAGCGTTACAGATGCACAGACAATGGGCTACTATATATATGATAGGGTATGTCTAGACTACATGCCTCTGTCACCAGACGCATGTAAATTAGACTACCCAACATAGTCAGTGAAGCCGGGATTTAAATATCCCCGGCTTCATTACAATAAAAATGGCCGCCGCACTGTGCCGGCTCAGCTGATTGTTGGCACAGCACGGCATTCAAGATGCGGATTGGTTGACAAGGAACGCCTTTCTCGACCACTCCCTTGTACCTCATGAAATGAGGTTTACAGGAGCGGTCGACAAAGGCGTTCCCTGTCGACCGATTCGCGTCTTGACTGCCACGCTGTGCTGATGATCAGCTGAGCCGGCACAGCGTGGTGGCCATTTTTATTTTAATGAAGCCGGGGATATTTAAATCCCGGCTTCACTGACTATGTTGGGTAGTCTAATTTACATGCCTCTGTCAACAGAGGCATGTAGTCTAGACACACCAATAGAATAGTAGAACTGAAGGGACCTCGAGAGAACATCAAGTCCAGTCCTCTGCCCTCATGGCAGGACCAAACACCATCTAGAATAGATCATCCCTGATAGGTGTCTATCTAACCTGCTCTTAAATATCTCCCGTGATGGAGATTCCACAACCTCCTTAGGCAATTTATTCTAGTGTTTAACCACCCTGACAGAAAATTTTTCCTAATGTCCAACCTTAGCCTCCCTAGCTGCAATTTAAGCCCATTGCTTTTTGTCCTGTCATCTGAGGCCAAGGGGAACAATTTTTCTCTCTCCTTCTTGTAACACTCTTTTAGATACATAAACCACATGAAGGTCGTTACCTAAAAGTTATAATAGTGATCTAAAATTCTACTACTATGAATTTTAGCAACTTTTGCACAGGTTCATCTCAACTTGTTTTAAGGACCAAATCCTGATGTCCTGGTCCTGGTTTCACTCAGTCCACACTTGTGCAGACTACCCAAGACTTCAAAGGAAATGTTACCTTAGTAAGATTTTGAGAAATAAAGAGAAGAGTTTAAGAATGATTTGGAAGGGACATAAATCCACCTGCTTCAAGGAATGAGTCATCCTCTAGATAATGGGGTTACAGAGGAAACTCTCCATCAGGGCAGGTTATCCCATAATTGCTCACTAGAGGGTTTCTTGCCACTTCCTTTGATGCATCTTGTCATTTTGAAATCCAGGCCTACAAAAACTCTGTTCCCCCACCACAGTGTTCATAAACATACTTCCTCTTCCTGCACATCTCTACCCAATACATGATTAACTATATAAAAATTAATTTAGACTCATTACTGTCCTCCTCATGCAAATGAGGGAGACAGCACATGGGTGCCAGTTCAGCCTAAAATTGGTGGAAATTCATCTTGTTTCAGGCTAAGTTGGCTCCTGTTTGCTTGTTGGCTAGGTTTTTTTGGGGGGAGGGGTTGTTTGTGTGTGTTGAACACTTTTACATTATAGCTTCTTATTTATTGATTTGGCTCTTGGAATCCACCCTTACCAATGGTTCCAGCCAATTGGAATGAAAGTTTAACTCGGGTGATTTGACTGCAGTCCATTCTAGCCTGTGATTGTGTGTCCTTTCTCCTCCCGTCCCCTGCTGCCTGACTGTGCATACTAGCAGCATGCACATGACTGTTAAAGGACATAAAATTTCCAGTGCCTTCATTCAGCTGGAACTCTAGGCACCCCCAACAGAACAGCACCAGGAGAGTGAGTAAGAGTAGGGGAAGGAGTCCTGTCTTTGTTTAAAAAACAAATAAAAATCTGAAGGGTGGAAAGAAAAGCTCTTAGCCTGGCTACTGCACGGAGTGAGGAGCAGGGGCACCATTTAGAGAGACTGGGGGAGCTGTAGCTCCCTTGGATTTTGTACTAGGGGTTTTCCCCTCTAGTCCCCAATAGAGCTCTTAAATTCAACTCAACCTGAATGTGATATGTATTGAATTCAGAAACTGGGAGCAGCACATCCTTTCTGTCTGGGAGTTTATTAACAGAGGCAGGATGATTAAGGTAACAAAAGGCTTGTCATTAAAGTAAACATGGATGATCCAGAAAGCATTAGATGATCTGGAAAACATTGTCAGGTACTGCAGTCAAAAGATAGGGAATAAAGGGAATAAATGGTTAAAATGGAAAGAAGTAAATAGTAATGACCCCCAGGGGTCTGTACTGGGACTTTTGGTCTGACCCATTATGGCCATTTTAATGTTTTTACATAGAATCCAGATGTATCTGCCCCTGCTGGAATCTACTAGAACCCCCCGCCTCAGAGCTAATACCCAGGAGTCCTAATAGGGTCTCTCTCTCTCCCCGCAGAGTTAATAACAAAGTAATACTATATATTAATATTTTAAACCCTTAAGTGACTTGCCACATGATGTCAGAACATGCTATTATTAGAACTGAATGGGTCTAATATTTGCCTTTCTTTTATATAGGAATTAGATAGGGTTGCTTATTTATATCCTGTCAGCTAACTGCTAAGTTTTCTGCCAGAAAATGAAGGACTAAATAATCCCTAGAATCATGGTTAGAGTTGCCCCCCAATCAAAATCTGAAATGGCACCCCTCAGGAGGAGGGAAGAAAAACCCCTCCAAGTGCTACAGATGTCTCATGGGGGGGTGGGACAGAGAAGGACATCCCCAGTGACAGCTGCGTACACAACTACACAAATGGAGTTTAAACAACAGTTCCAAACCAGAATAGTTCCTTCCAGTTCTTTCCTGCCTGCCTGAGGTGCCACTGAGGGAAGGTACTAAGAGCCAGGAGGCAGGCATGGGGGGGCACAGGGAGGCCCAAAGAGAGTGTAGGGCAAGGGAAGATACTGAAAGCATAATAAGTAGGCATAAGGGCATGAGGAAGCACTAGGATGAAGGACAATGGAGGTACCAGGGGGCACAATGGAGGTACCAGGAGGGGTAGCACAAGGGAACAGGATAAACTTCAGGGGGATGCAGTGGGATCACAAAATGCACCCTGGGGGATCCAGTAACAATGTTTTTTAAAATAATTTGTTCATTTTTGGCCTAATTTTGAAATGGGATTAGCTTGAATTTGTCATATTTTGAATGTCAGGGTTGCTTATTTATATCATGAAAATTGGCAACCTTGAAAGATCCTGGATGTGGTTGTTAATCAATTTAAATGTCAAATACTGAAAAGTGGCCCTGGAATTCCACGTTAAATTAAACAGCTACCAGAACATTATGAGTTGAAGTTTTGTCTTGACCAGTGTTTCAAAGCTGACGATGATAAATTCATCACTGGGAAGAGTGATTGTGTACAAAAGCAATACACCCCATTTTGGTTTTCAACTAGCTGGTTATTTTATTTTGAAAAATAGATTGTTTTAGTACGTCATAACACTGCAAAGCCTTTAATTTATTTAACAGGAATATGTTCCCAGAAAACCTTGTCCAGGCTTGTTTTCAACAGGTAAGGTCAAATATTTTTTGCTGTTACTACAGTTTATTCCCATTTATTCAGTTCTTATTTCCAAGTTCCCAGGTGTTATCAGTTCCAAGGTGTTTCCCTTGAGTTGCAGCAATGTACAAGGAATTAGTTATGAAAAATCAGGGTGGCTGTTGCACAGAATTGAGACATGATCTACTGGAAAATTTATATTATTAAAAATCTCATTTTCCTTTCTACTGAAATAGACTTTTTATTGCTGGCTCAAAAAAAAGTATTCATCCCTTCCATGATCCACTGTTTTGGGAACTAGAAGAAGAATCAAAGCAGTATGGGCATGTCTACACAGCAGGGCTAAAGCCAAGATAAGCTATGCAACTTGAGCTACATCAATTGCGTAACTTAAGTCAAAATACTTTATTTCAGCTTTTGGCACTGTCTATACATCAGGAAGTCTGAGAGAGCACTCTTCCGCTGACTTCCCTTACTCCTTGTACAATGAGGGTTACAAGAGTTGGAGTAAGAAGTCCTCCAGCTTGACATTATTTCGACATTATGTCTGAATAACTGTTTGTAGTGTAGACGTGGACTTTGTTATTTCGGAATGACATCAGTTATTCTGAAATTACGTTGCTGGGTAGACATAGCCTAAGTGAGCACAACGTTTTATTCTTCAGAGATAATGTATGGGTTGAGATGTGAGACCTTTGTAACGATATCTGAATACCCTGTTCTTATATTGAGAAATTTTTTGAACTCTTCATTTTGAACTCTTTTTCATCTTCTGTAGATTATTGGAACTGGTGTCTGGATGTCTCTTCCACATGACAGACAAGAGATTATAGTCCAAAAATCTCTTGTGAGAAAGAATGAGGCCTAGAAGAGCTAAGATGTTTAAAGGTGCTACAGAAGAGATAAAATGATCCATTCACCCACAACAGTCCCATTCCCAATTTATTCACATGTAAAACTGAGGAAAAAACTTTTGAGGAGATTTGCAAATATATTTGTTGTACCTTATGATGTTACCGCCCCCAACTCCTCCTCCCGCTTTTTTTTTTCTTCCTTCCTCAGCAGTGGAGTATCAGATTTACTGCAGGGATCTGAAGCTCACCTAGTACAGACTTAACATTTCCCCAAAAAAGATGTTTATCTTTCTCTGCAAAATAGAATGTGTGTATTCAGTATGTAAAAGCGTTTATAGCAATACAAGTTGTACCTCCCTAAACTGGGACTTTCTTGGTCTGGCAATATCTGTGGTCCAGCAGGGCCATGGATGTTCCTGAGCCAGAGAGCCCTGGGGCCAGCGTCTGGCAGACAGGTCTGGGAGCTTGCAGCAGATGGGATGGGACTGGCAGGAGGGGGCCAGCTGCCCAGCCAGGCCAGGGACAGAGGGGCCGGCCAGACCAGAAGTGGTGGGGCGGGACGGATGGTCGGGGGGCCAGCAAATTCCCTCATTTGGGACCAGTTAGGTTCTAACAGTGCCAGACGAGGGAGGTCCAACCTGTAGTAATTTTGTATGTATATAATAAGGGACAAATACTACACCTTGCACCAGTCTTGTAAATGGCTTCTTTGCAGGAGCAAAGAGGAAAGAACCTTTTTTGTATCCTCATGGCTACCATCTTCACTACCAACCTCTCAATAGTGACTCTCAGAAATTTCATTTGAATATTTGCTTGACTATACCCATGGATTGCAGATCTCTTGTGCTGGATTCAGAAATCCTGCTCCATCCCCAAGGAACTGCACAGATTCCATATTGTGCACCTCATGGGTGGGAAGCAGAATTTGAACCACAGTATCTTTGTATGAGTTCCCAGTGTCTCAAAAGAAGAAACTCAGGGCACATCTAAATTATATTCCTCTTTCTAAAGAGGAATGTAAATGAGGCTGATCAAAAATTCAAATGAAGCACGGATTTACAAATCTCACACTTCATTTGTATAAATGAGTTTGCAGATGATACCAAACTGGGTGGGGTTGCAACTTCTTTGGAGGATAGGGACATAATTCAAAATGACCTTAGCAAGTTAGAGAAATGGTCAGAGGTAAACAGGATGAAGTTTAATAAAGAGAAATGCAAAGTGCTCCACTTAGGAAGGAACAATCAGTTCCATACATACAAGACGGGAAGCGACTGTCTAGGAAGGAGCATGGCAGAAAGGGATCTAGGGGTCATAGTGGACCACAAGGTGAATATGAGTCAACAGTGTGATGCTGTTGCAAAAAAAGCAAATATGATTCTAGGTTGTATCAACAGGTGTGTGGTAAGCAAAACTCGTGAAGTCATTCTGCCGCTCTACTCTGCACTAGTTAGGCCTCAAATGAGTACTGTGTCCAGTTCTGGGTGCCACATTTCAAGAAAGATGTGGAGAAATTGGAAAGGGTACAGAGAAGAGCGACAAGAATGATTAAAGGTTTAGAGAACATGACCTATGAAGCCAGGCTTCATGAACTGGGCTTGTTTAGTTTGGAAAAAAGAAGATTAAGGGGGGACATGATAGCGGTTTTCAAATATCTAAAAGGGTGTCACAAGGAGGAAGGAGAAAATTTGTTCCTCTTGGTTTCTGAGGACAGGACAAGGAGTAATGGGCTTAAAGTGCAGCAGGGGAGGTTTAGATTGGACATTAGGAAAAAATTCCTAACTGTCAGGGTGGTCAAATATTGGAATAAATTGCCAAGGGAGGTGGTGGAATCTCCCTCTCTGGAGATATTTAAGAACAGGTTAGATAGACATCTGTCAGGGATGGTGTAGACGGAGCTTGATCCTGCCTTGAGGGCGGGGGGCTGGACTCGATGACCTCTCGAGGTCCCTTCCAGTCCTATTATTCTATGATTCTATGAAAAGTCAGTCTAGATGGGGTTCTTTTGGAAAAAAAAACCTTTTTTGAAAGAACCCATACTCCTGAAAAGTGAGGTGTACAGGTTCTTTTGAAAAAGGGTTTAAAAAAAAAAAAAAAAAACCTCCATCCAGACTGCATTTTCTTTTTTGAAAAACCTTTTTTCGAAAAAGCGCTCTCACGCAGTTATGCAAATGATGCACGAGATTTGTAAATCCGCACTTCATTTGAATTTTTGATCGGCCTCATTTATATTCCTCTTTCGAAAGAGGAATGTAGTTTAGACGTGCCCTCGGTCACTCAAAATTATTTGAAAGCTTCACATATCTGAGTACAATTGCTGGCCAGAAATCTTATGGAAGTCAGAAATGTATGTCTTTTGCTCTGAATTACTGGGTAGATTTGCCATTGTTCTTTTCCTTGGTATTCCCAAATAAATGTTATAATTTTTCACTCCAAATTTCAGTATAAAAGCAAACGTGAAGAATTGAAACTTAAAAAAGTACCGGAAAAAAACAGCACCACGCTTGCGGGAGGGCTTGTTACAAATGTCATGGCAACAGAGGCTTTGAAGGTACGGTTTTTATTACTTTATTCTGTTTTACAAAGAGAGAGATTAGAATAAGGAGGGATTTGTAGACTGAGATATAGTTTGTTCAATACATTAATGATCTGGAGGAGGAAGCAAAGAGCAAGTTGGTGACATTTATTTGGAACATAAATAAGATATGCAATGGGGGAAAATAATCTAAAGATCTCATGTGATGATGAATTTTAAACTTGCTGAATCACTGAAGGAAATAGAGTCATAATGGAGGGCTCGCTCAAACTATGTGTCTCATGTGCAACCGAGGTTAAAAAGCAAATAAAATACCTGTGGATATTACAGAAAGAAAATAGAATGTGACCATGTGTTGGCATCCTGATGGTAGTAGTTAAATGTTCTTATCATTTGATAGCTCCACAAGGAAAAGATTGAAAAAGAAGTGTTTTAATAAATATGATCAGAGGTATGGAAAGACTTATGTATGAGGACAGCTAGAAAAGACTAGTATTAGCCTGGAGAAAAAAGTAAAAGGGATTTAATAATACCTGAATACAAAATTTTGAACAGAATAGTATAATGAATATTGATCAGATGCTTTTTTTTAAAACTAACTCTCATAAGAGCAAGGGGAGATTTGCCTAAATTAAATGGAAAAGTGGAAAGCAGTAAAAAATCAGGCAAGGTATGGGTTCTGGGAGGGAGTTTGGGTGTGGGAGAGGACTCTGGGCTATGGCAAGGATTGGGGTACAAAGAGGGGTTTGGGGTCCTGGTGACACATACTGCTGATCCCAGGAAGGAACTAATAGGTCCCTGTGATCTCTAGGCACAAAGAAGCTCCACATGTTGCCCTCATGCCTATAGGCAATGCTCCTACAGCTCCCATTGGTCACAGTTCCTGGCCAATGGGCACTTTGGAACTGGCACTTGGGGTGGAGACAGTGCACAGAGTCAGTCTGCACCTGGGGGGGCCACAGAGACCTGGCAGCCACTTTTGGGAGCCATGCAGAGCCAGCAAGGTAGAGAGCTTGCCTTAGTTTCCGGTCCCTACTGCACTACCAAGCTGACTTAACAGCCCAGCCAGTAGTGCTGATGAGAACCACCAGGGTCCCTATTTGACCAGGCATTCCAGTTGAAAACCAGACACCTGGCAACTCGAACAACAGCATGCTATGTCTTGAAGTAGTTTCCATCATACACAGGGTTTACAGTTTAGTTCAATGGCTCTCAGAACCCCCACTAAACAGATTGTTCTACCATCCCTGCTTGAATAACCACAGGATCATAAAGGCATCTTTAAACCATCTTAATCCCCATACACAAACACACATGCTCCCTGCTGCAAGTATGAGACCAAAGAATCAGGCACCTTGTCTTTTCGGTGAAATAAGATGTTTTCATTTAGCACTCATATAAAGTATATACACTGTTCCTTTTCAGTAACACTCTTCCTGGTTTCAATCTACAGAACACAACCAAAGAATACAAAATAGTAGGCACGTATTCTGGTGGCATTAATGTACTGGGCTTGATTGTCTTTTGTCTTGTCTTTGGAATTGTTATTGGGGAAATGGGAGAAAAAGGACGAGTTCTGGTGGACTTTTTCAATGCACTGAACGATGCTACAATGAACATTGTTCAGATCATCATGTGGTGAGTACAATGATATATCTTGGTATTTTTTTGTTCTCTCCTTTAAGCAAATTTTGCCATAAGCTTTAATGAAAGCATGATCACAGTCTGTGTGATCACAGCAAACTTCTCACAGCAAACTACTTTAAAATAAAAGTAAGTCTAATAAATAGTTTGCAAATTCAAATAAGGAACTATAATATTAACTAGTTTGCAATTTGAACCCTCACTTACTTCTGTATTCACAAAGTGGTCATGTAATGTGAAACTTCAGAATCATTAACCCAATACTAAAAATAGGCTTTTTGAGATTATATGACATTTATTTTGGACAGGGAAACCAAATTACAAACACAGGCCTTAATTTTGAAATTGGAGTAAAATCCTGCAGTCTGACTACCTGCCTATTCAGTGCGACATTATTTGTTATAAGATTTTGTAGCAATCAGATTGCAAAATAAGGGGCATGATTTTTACCAGTCCTTTATGGGGCTTGATACTGCAAACACCTGAAAATAAAAGCATCAAGTTTATTACTGTGACCTGAAAAAAATCAACACTCATGACAGTATGCACCATACACCATAATAGTTTATAGGCTCAGGTTGTAAGCATGTGAGATCTCAATCTGAAGAGAGCCAGTGTAGCTTGTAAAGCAATAGCTTTTGCCTCGATTGATTGATAGTTCTGTCCTCCACAAGAAATGCATTGTCCTGATGTATTAATATATATATTATAGAGAGATATAGCCCATGATTCTGCACTGCAATCTCCTTGAGAATAAGGGAACTTTCCTATCTGGATCTCTTTCCAGAGTAAGGTTATAGGTCCCAATCCTGCAAACTCTTTTTCATGTGCATGATTTTACTCTCATATGTAAGGTTCTGCAGGATTGGGGCATAATTTGTAATCCCTCGCCCACTTCTCCAACCTCTGTGAATATGTCTTTACTCATTGCATGTGGAACTGTGGTTACTGCTATGTATACTCTGACACCTAAATTTGCAAACACTGTTTTCATATGAAAAATCACTTCTAATGTAATACTTTTGAAAGTGAGTAAAATTCTATTGTTACAGAATCCTACCCCAAATTTTCCTTTATTTTTATAGTGATGAAAATAAATATTTCTTATTAAAGAAAGAAAATATATTCTGTTGTGCCAAAATCTGTTTATTGGCACAATCTGTGTAGCAACATCAGCTTTATCAGAAAATGCATTTTTAATTAAGCTATTTTGTGCACCATAGGTGTATGCCACTTGGCATTATGTTCTTGATTGCTGGGAAGATAATAGAAGTTGAGGACTGGGAAATCTTTCGCAAACTGGGTCTTTATATGGCTACAGTACTATGTGGGTATGTCATTCCTTAAAAATAAAATGAAAATATATGCTTTGATTGGACCACACTTTATTAGATTTTCATTATCTACAACAAACCAGCTTCTACTATACCCAGACAGAAAATAAGATCTGAGGTAAGATTCCCTCATCTTAAAGTTATTTGGGGATATGTTGCATTAGAAGTGCACCCTTTCCTTTAAACTGCCAGCTGCCTTGCAACCAGGGGTGCTGATCAGAGAAACCATGTATTTGATATCTGTTATTACTGCTTCAATCCAATACACCTAGTTCCAGCATCATTGCTTGCAACATAAAAAGAAAAGGAGTATATGGAACTCAGTACTTTCTGTCTTAACTGACTGCTCAGTAGGTAATGTTGCTTTAGAAAATAGAGTGATACCTCCACTAAACTCAGGGAGGATGGGGCTGGGAAAGGAAATCTCCTGGCATAAAGAACCCTGCTGCTCTCACCAACTCATTAGCAGCCCAGGTTTGCCAGCCTATTGAAAAGGTTATGTTGCCCTTTTCAAAGTTTCTGGGCATCTGTAGGCTAGGATGAGCTGCACTGAGAACCTATGCCCCTACACTATGCCTCTTGTGGCCTATTCCCAGCTCCATGGTTTGGGGAAGGAGAGGAAATTATTTCAGGGAGGCAGTTTCCACACACAGCAGGTGATTCGCATCCAGAGAATCTCCTCTGTGAATTGATTCGGAGGCATAATCTGAGACATTGATTCTTTGAGACAAGAGTCGCTGACAAAGTCTCAAAAGTAGCATTTACTATCTAGCTTTAATCCAGGGCACCTCTTATAGGAAAAAAAAATCTATTTTAAATCTAATGACTCTACAAAATCTTCCTTGTGTGTGACCATTACACTAATCCCTTTGTAGGTCTGGGGACTTAGTAAAGACAGTTTAACGGCAATGAGAAATATAGCAATAGATAATCTACACCTCTGAAGAATATCCCATAAAAAACGCTGTTTGAAAAATAAATTCGTGCTTACACTACCATTAAATTAGGTGCATTTAAATATCTGCTTCCAAGGCACTGAAGCATAACATCCAGATTGTGTTGGTTCGCTGCCTTAAGCTTCAGCTTCAAAATATCTTCAGTGTACTGAGAATTTATTCATGTTTTGTTTAGAGACCAGATCCAAAGCAGCTTCAGCGCTTGTGCCCACCTTTGTATACTGACACAAGCTATTCTTCAAAAGCATTTCACAAGGTTTCTGAAAACTGAGCGAAGAGAGGGTAATAATGTTTATAAATGTAAAGTAATGCATATGGGAAAAAATAACCCCAACTATACGTACAATATGATGGGGAGTAATTTAGCTACAAATACTCAAGAGAGAGATCTTCGAGTCATTGTGGAGAGCTCTCTGAAAACATCCACTCAGTGTGCAGCGGTATTCAAAACAGCAAATAGAATGTTAAGACTGATTTAAAAAGGGACAGCGAATAAGACAGAGAATATCTTATTGCCTCTGTATAAAACTGTGGTATGCCCACATCTTGAATACTGATGTGGTTTCCTCACCTCAAAAAAGATATATTGGCATTGGAAAAGGTTCAGAAAAGGGCAACAAAAATGATTAGGGGTTTGGAATGTGTCCCATATTAAGAGAGATTAAAAAGACTTGGACTTTTCAGCTTAGAAAAGGGGAGACTAAGGGGGGATATGATAGAGGTCTATAAAATCATGACTTGTATGGAAAAAGTGAATACAGAAAAGTTATTTACTTATTCTCACAATATAAGAACTAGGGGTCACCAAATGAAATTAATAGGCAGCAGGGTTAAAACAAACTTAAGGAAGTTTTTCTGCACTCTGCACACAGTCAACGTGTGGAACTGCTTGCCAGAGGATGTGGTGAAGACTAGGACTTAACAGAGTTCAAAAAGGAGCTAGATAGATTCATGGAGGTTAGGTCCATCAATGGCTGTTAGCTAGGATGGGTAGGAATGGTATCCCTAGTATCTGTGAGTAAATAGGTAACAGGAGAGGGACCATGTGAGGATTAACTGTTGCGTTCCCTCCCTCTGGGGCATCTGGTGTTGGCCACTGTCGGCAGACAGGATACTGAGCTAGATGGACTTTTGGTCTGACTTATGGCCGCTTTTATGTTAACATAAATGGGCTTAACTCAAGCTTCTCTAAAAGGAAATGAAACAATCTTTTTTTTTTTTTTGTGAATCTTTGCTATATATATGGTTTTTTATTAAGGCTGTCAATTAATGTGCATTTCCACACGGCACTGCCCCTTTGAAACGCCATGGTGGCATTTCAAAGGGCAGCCCCGAGTGGCGCCCAGGATCAGCTGTGCAGCACTGTCCCTTTGAAACACCGCTCCAGCGTTGCAAAGGGGCAGCGCAACATGGAGCCTGGGATCAGATGGAGTCTTATTATTGTTTAACAGTACGATTAATTGTGTGATTAATCATAATTAATTTTTTTAATCGCACGATTAATCTAGCTTAATTTTTTAATTGCTTGACAGCCCTATTTTTATTTCAAAAGTATATTTTAATTATTTATGCTTTCACATTGGGACTAGCAAGAAATAATTTTAAATTTCAAATAGTAATTCCTTGAAATGTAATGACTATATAAATTAAGATTTATTACAGATTCAGAAATGAAATACTTGATTCTGATAATATTTCTTTTTATAAATTTCCATTCTAGTTGTGGAAACATTTTGTGCCAATTTTATAAAGGTGGCAGAAATTAATAATTTCCAATAACCTCTGTTCATTCAAATTAATTCTTCTGATTTTAGTTATAAATCAAACGATGGGCAGAAATTAGGAACATATAGAAAGATACAGTATAAATTCAGCAGTTTTGTACATTAACAACTCCAGATAGCCTGGAGAAGGTATTCACTAACTGACCTATTACTGTCCTTTGACTTCAGTTTTATCTAGGACAGCAAATATTATTATTACCTACTAATAGTTTTTTTCTTCTGTGTTAGAACTAGGGCTGTTAAATATCAGTTAATTGATATTTAACTCATGATTTTTTATCAGTTAGTTAACTATTCTATAGTCCCCAGGGGTGGGAGCGACAGTACAGAGGCAGTAGTGCAGGGTTCTAAGAGGGAGCTGGTCCACAAGGGGAGCCAGTTTAAAAGCCAGTTTCCATTGTGGACCAGTTGCCTGTTGACCAGTGCTGCTCCCTCTGATACAGAGGCAGCAGAGCAGGAAGGCAGCAGCCCCTGTCCGGGCAGGGGGGGTCTGAGTTCCTGGACCCAGCTGCCTGCCCACCTGGCTCCTAATACACTTTAAATGCAGAGCCACAGCAGGAGCCAGAACTGAGCCAGGCTGCTGGCCAGCCTGCTAAAAAATTTACTGGCAAGGTCAGGGGAAGGGAAATGTATGTAGTCTATAGCATTAACCCCTAAGCTTTTGTTATCGGTTAATCAACTACACTATTTAGAACTACACTAGCTAGAACCCTAAGGCCCCTAATAAGGCCCATGTCTTGCTGGGTACTGTATAAACACACAAGTAGACACACTCCCTGCCGTGCAGTTCTTACACTGTAAATGAAGTATTGCTACATGTATCTTTATGTTTAGATAGCAGCCACATGCCCTGGGGCATAATGGCTTGTAAATAAGTCCCAAATGCTTTTTTGAAGGTCACCCCCTTTAAGGGCGCCCGGATTTTCAGCCCTGCAGACCATAGGCTCTCATCCTAAAAGGGCCAGTGATCGACTCTCCTTGACTATGCAGGAAGGATTTATGGAAAGCTCCGCAGAGCTCTGCTGTAGCTAACTATGGGGAAATGCAAAGAAAAGAGCACATGCTTTGAAACACTGAACAAAAGGGGGAGTATTTTATAAACAGATTCACAGAAGTGAGGTTAGCATCAGGCATTAGCCAGCAGGAGTGAAGGAAAGATGCCTGCTCTTCCTTCTCCCATCTTTAGATAGCTAAATACCTAGCTCACATTTATTATGTAGGAGACCAGTTGTAGTCGTCCCTCCCTGTCTTCATTACTATATTTTCCCCTACACCTAGCCGGATTTTTATTATTAATCTTTGTTATTTTGACCTTTTCTTGTTCTTTTCTGTCTTTGTATTTTGGCCTCCTCTTTCTCTGCAACTGTATGTTCTGAATTTTCTCTAACCATCTTTTCTGGTTTTTTCACATGCCTCTCTTTGAGTTTGATCAATGTGTGTTCCTGGACACCTTCAAACTTCATTGTATTTGCTGGGGGTGAAGAGTGCTCAAAATAATGCAGGATTGGGCCCTTTTTCCTTTGCCCTTCCACTCCATCCCCTCTTTTTCTCTCCTGTCTCCATCTCATGTCTTCAGATTTCTTTCTTGTGTCCTTCCACTTTTTTAATGTGCTCCTCCGTCACCCTGGAGCGTGTGTGTGTCTTTCTCTCTTCCATGCCCCCAAATCTTTCTACAATTTTTCTCTCATCTCCAAATGTCTTCATGTGTTTCTGAACTCCATTATGTCTCTCAGACTGGTTGTAATATATATGACCCCCAAATATCTCTCCTTCAAGTCACTGTAGGGCATGTTGTTCCAAGTGTTTCCCCCCCAAATGCTAATTGGTTCCAGTATCCCCCTCCTTCACTCTCCACCATCCCCAGTATCTCTCTACTCTAGTGTCTGCTTCTCTGTTTCACAGATTGTGTGTTAGAAAGGGGACACACTATCAGTCTAAAGAAAGAGGAATTGACCTAAAATGTATGATGAGCAGGCCAGAGGAGCCAGGGCCCAAAGAGAAGCTGGGGAGGAGAGGATGAGAAAATAAATGTCCCTGTTATCAGCTCCTTCTCATCTTTTTAAAAGCAAGGAACTGTTTAAATCTTGGTGTTTGTAAGATGGTACTAGACCAGGGACAGACAAAATACGGCCTGGGGGCCGAATGTGGCCCACCAAGCCACCGGATCCAGTCTGCAGACCACCCTGCCAGGACCCTCAGACATACAGTTGCCACTTTTTAAAGCACAGTCCATGCGGCTCTCTGCTCTGCAGTGAGGGGGAGGCTTCATGCGATCTCCTCGCCCCCAAACCAATCCTTACCTTCTAATGGCCAGAAACAACCAGCCAATCGGAGCTGAGAAATTGGCCGGGGGATGGGGACAACACAATTATCTTCCCACTCTCAAAGCTGAGAGCCACATGGAGGGAGCAGTCTGTAGTTTTAAGTGATCAAGAGCTTCAGCAGGCAGGGAGCCCAGCCTGCCTTGGAGGTGCTGCCGGGCTGCAGGCCAGGAGATGCTTAGGTAAGTACCTCCAGCCAGAGCCTGCTCTCGCATCTCAGCCCCTCCTGTACCCCAACTCCCTCCCCCTGGTCACCTTCCAAACCCTCTGCACCGCCCCCCCCCACCACCAAATATTATTGACCACACACCTGTACTAGACTGTGTTCTTGGGTGACAGGCTTCTCTCTTAGGAAGAACTCTATTTCTCAGCTGCTGATAGGATTTTTTTAATTGTAAGAGGAAGTTTTATGGAAATAAATTTTCATAAATAGTCAAGTGAGATAAGACTAAATTGTTGGCCTGAGTACAAAGAACAGCATAATCATATTGACTTGGAACAACTCTGATTAAGGATGTTAAAACTGTTAACCAGTTAAACATTAATGGTTCTTAACCATTTCATATTGTATACAGGAAACAGACATGCAATACCCCCCATAAAAAATTTGTTCAGGAGAAGTGCATCCATCCAAAATTACTAACACCAAGTAGGCATAATCTGCCCTGGAATACATGCATGTAATTATCACTGACATCAATATGAGTTGCTCTAAGGTTTCTGAAGACAGTACAGGCAGTCCCCGGGTTACGTACAAGATAGGGACTGTAGGTTTGTTCTTAAGTTGAATCTGTATGTAAGCCAGAACTGGCGTCAGCCGCTGCTGAAACTGACCAGCGGCTGACTACAGGAAGCCCGAGGCAGAGTTGCTCTGCCCCAGGCTTCCTGGAATCAGCCGCTGATCAGTTTCAGCAGCGGCTGACGCCAGTTCTGACTTACATACAGATTCAACTTAAGAAACCCAGGCGTCCCCAAGTCAGCTGCTGCTGAAACTGATCACTTTCAACCGCGGCTGAATCTGGACGCCAGTTTTGACTTACATACAGATTCAACTTAAGAAACCCAGGCGTCCCCAAGTCAGCTGCTGCTGAAACTGATCACTTTCAACCGCGGCTGAATCTGGACGCCAGTTTTGACTTACATACAGATTCAACTTAAGAAACCCAGGCGTCCCCAAGTCAGCTGCTGCTGAAACTGATCACTTTCAACCGCGGCTGAATCTGGACGCCAGTTTTGACTTACATACAGATTCAACTTAAGAAACCCAGGCGTCCCCAAGTCAGCTGCTGCTGAAACTGATCACTTTCAACCGCGGCTGAATCTGGACGCCAGTTTTGACTTACATACAGATTCAACTTAAGAAACCCAGGCGTCCCCAAGTCAGCTGCTGCTGAAACTGATCACTTTCAACCGCGGCTGAATCTGGACGCCAGTTTTGACTTACATACAGATTCAACTTAAGAAACCCAGGCGTCCCCAAGTCAGCTGCTGCTGAAACTGATCACTTTCAACCGCGGCTGAATCTGGACGCCAGTTTTGACTTACATACAGATTCAACTTAAGAAACCCAGGCGTCCCCAAGTCAGCTGCTGCTGAAACTGATCACTTTCAACCGCGGCTGAATCTGGACGCCAGTTTTGACTTACATACAGATTCAACTTAAGAAACCCAGGCGTCCCCAAGTCAGCTGCTGCTGAAACTGATCACTTTCAACCGCGGCTGAATCTGGACGCCAGTTTTGACTTACATACAGATTCAACTTAAGAACAAACCTACAGTCCCTATCTTGTACGTAACCCGGGGACTGCCTGTACTGGACACTGGTTAACAGCTCCTCATTAAGATCATGAGATCAGATAGATCTAATTCTTAAAACAGGTTGTTTTCTTTTGCAGACTTGCAATCCATTCCATTATAGTTCTGCCACTGATCTACTTAATAATAGTAAGGAAAAACCCTTTTCAGTTTGCCATGGGGATGGCTCAAGCACTTCTTACAGCCCTCATGATCTCCTCCAGGTAATCAAACATTTTTCTCCCTCAAGCATTAATATACTTGGCAATAATCAACTCTTTAGTTTATATCGTTGCTGCCTGTGTTTCTCAGCCTGATCTTAGATGAACCATTGTAAATCTGTTGAGTATAAACCTATGAGGAAGTATTTCTCTTAAAATTATTATTTATATAGCATCCAAAAGTTTGTTATTGACTATAGTGGAGTTATCCTGGAGTTATGCCAATGCTTTTGAGATTAGTGCTTAATCTCTTGATTGTAATTCCAGAAAACAGAGCTGTAAATTAGTACATTGCTCACAATATCATTTTGTTTATTGTGTTGTTTTCAGTTTTTCGTCGAGTGATTGCTCATATCCATTCAATGTAGGTGCGTGTGCTTGGCACATGCACCAATGCGAGAAGATTTTCCCTCAGCAGCATGTGTAGGGGAACAGGTCCCAGCACCCCCTAGAGTTGAGCATATATGCCACAATATATAGGTAGCTTCAGTCTGACCCAGTCCTATATTCCTGTCAAAGGCACTTTTACTTGAACTTTGCTCACTTGTTCACTTGTCCTCTCCAGTTCCTTCTTGCCACCAGTAATAGTGCTCCAGCATAGTTAATCTTTACTATTTCCCTCTTTTCAAGAGTAAATAGGTTTAAATAGTTATAGTTGACAGTGTTAGTCTTGTAAATAGTCAGTCCTCAGCTAGGACTTGCCCCAGTCTCCTGGCTTTAAACACTGTACTAAGTGTCACAGGGCTATGCCTATTAGTGACCCTCAAGAAAACTGCCTCCACTGCTTGGGTGAGGTAATATCAATGAGAAGTATTGAATTTGTAGGTCTTCCATCTGAGGACCTTGAAGGATAGAGACATTAGGCTAAAGGCACTGCTGTTGGAGTTGGCTTTGTCTCTGCAAGACCAATGGTCCAACTCAGGCTAAGCAAAGTGCCCCTCTTCCCTGTCGCCACCGACAACTTCTTGATACCAAGAGTCTTTGGTAGTTCCAATGAAGTGGGGCAAGAAATACAGGAAAGACAAGAGCCCCGGACCACGTAAATCAAGGCCCAAGCCGGTGTCAGACAGGTTCAAGGCACTGGAGAAGTCCCTGCAGCTCAAGTGGATCAATCCACAGGGCTCTGTACTTCTGCCACTGACCATACAATGCCTTCCACCCCAGTGTCATTTCCCTGAGGAGGAGCAGTCAGCCCAGGCCTTGTCATCTTCCTCACCAGATGAGGCAAAAGTGGCAACCCCTCCTATGGTCCTGCAGAACAACAAGACCCATCAGGACTTCTTGATGTAGGTGGCCACTAACCTTGATCCTCAGGCAGAAGAGGTGGAGGAACCCACTGACACCCTCTTTGTAATTCTGAGGCAAATGGCTCCAGCTAGGGTTGCCTTGCCACTACCCAAAGAGTGGACAAGATAGCAAAACACCCTCCTTTGTGGCAGACACCCTCCTCAGTTCCCCTGACATCTAAAAGGACAGAATGCAAGTATTTCATCCCCGCTAATGACTACAACAGTCTGTTCACCCACCCGGCCCCAAACTCACTTGTGGTAAAGTTATTTAACTACAGGGAGCGCCGAGATCAATCTGCCCTAGTCCCCAACAATAAGGACTCCAGATGCCTGGATCTTTTTGGATGTAAACTTTATCAGTGGTTCAGCCCTCTGTACCCAAGAACCATGGGAAGGAGGTCAAGATAGAGGAAGGGGCAGTGGCAGCTAGAGCAGTGTGCCAACTCGCCTTGATACTGTGGATTCAGCAGCCCGATCTATGGCTTCAACCATCTCCATGTGTCAGTTGGCATGGCTCCTGCTCTTGGGCTTGTCCGTGGAGGCCCAGAACTCACTTCAAGAGCCCCAGTCAGACCTGGTTCGCAGAGAATACGGACACTAAATTGCACAGCCTGAAAGACTTGAGAACCACCCTAAAAACTGGGCATTGTATGTCCTGGGAATGGAGAGAGAAACATTTAAACCTCCTCCCTCTCAATCTCCTGCGGCCTATTTTCGGCAAGATCTGGTCCAAGGGAGTCTAAGCCATACAGGATGCAAAGCAGGTAAGCTTAGTCAGCCACCCAACCCTTCTCTACCTGCCCTAAGCTCCCCAGCAAGCATCCCTTTTGAGAGTGCACCCAGGGGCGACATACGTTTCACACCAGATCTTTCTCTTTTGTTTTCCTCCTACCTCTGCCCCTACTATTCAGCCCGGAGGGCCATCATGTTGGATCACTGGGTCTTGGTCACAACAGAGCATGGCTATACCCTCCAACTGTCCTCTACCTCCCCTTCCACCCACCATGTTTGCCCCTTTTCAGGGACCCTTCTCATGAAACCCTTCTCACACAGGAAGTGGGGGACTTGCTCCACAGGAGGTCCACTCCTATACAGAAAAGGTTTTTTTCCCATTTTTTTTAATCTTGAAAACCAAGGGGGTTTTACACTTCATTCTTGACCTGTGAGACCTGAACAACCATCTACAGAACCTCAAGTTTCACATGGTCTCCCTGGCTTCAATCATCCCCAACATGGAACCTGGGGATTGGTACACCATCCATGATCTTTGAGGGACATAGGCATTTCCTGAGGTTCAAGGGAGGTGCAAATCACTACTAATTTGCAGTTTTCCGCTTTGATCTTGATACAGTTCACAGAGAATTCACCAAATGTACATTGATGGTGGTGACTTACCAGAGATGCAAGTGGATCCAGGAGTATCCCTACCTTGACAACTGGTGACTCAGAGGCCTGTACGAGAACTAAGTCCATCATGACATCACTCTCCTGCTGGACACGTATTAGTGGCTGGGCCTCCTGGTAAACGAGGAAGAGTCTACATTAGTTCCAGTCCAGAGTTAATCAGGGTAGTCCTTGACTCAGTAGTAGTGCAAATTATAATTACTTCCAGACAGGTTCGAATTGCTCACTAGCCTCATTCGCCATGCGTCAACTGCACTGCTGACCACAGCCAGGGCTTGAATGAGAATAGTTGGCCACGTGATGGCGTTCACTTTCATTGTGCACTTCACCAGTCTTAGCATATGCCCTTCTACAACTGTGGTTGGCATCGGTATGCTCCCCAGCATGGCACCCCTCTCAACAGAATAGTGACTGTCCCCCATATGTCCTCCAGACACTGCAGTGGTAGACAGTACTGGACAATGTCTTGGCCAGAGTTCCGTTTCAGCAACCTTCGCACTCCCTGTTGTTGCTGTCCAATGACTTGGACCGGGGCTGGGAAGCCCACCTCGTATCATTGCAGATGCAGAGGACATGAACCTATGCAGAGCTGAACCGTCACATAAATGATAAAAAGCTCAGGGCAGTATGGAAGGTATGCACAGTGTTCCTCCCACACCTGTTGGGCACAGTGGTGAAAGTTCTCAACGACAACACAGCCACAATATTCTATATCAATAGTTAAGGAGAGATCCACTCCGCAGCTCTCTGCCAAGATGTACTAGCTGTCTAGGGCTTCTGCATCAGGCACAATATCTCCCTGGAGGCCTGTCACCTCTGTGGAGCTAAGAATGTGATCATGGACCACCTGAACAGGAAGTTCTCTTCTCACCATGAGTGGACCCTTCACCTTAAAGTGACTCTTCCAAGAGTGGGGATCTCCAGAGGTTGAGATTTTTGCTACCTGCCAGAATGAAAAGTGTCTTCTGTTCTGCTCCCAACTTGTTCTCGAGGAGGGTTTCCTGCCCTTTCCACTAATCAGCAAGGTGTTGCAAAAGATCAGGTAATCCTCATTGTGCCAGTATGGCCTCATCAGCACTGGTTTGGCGTGCTCGTCAGCCTGCTGGACAGGTGGCTGTGGTCACTTCCAGCTTGCCTGGACCTTCTCTCGCAGAACCAGGGCCAACTGTTGCATCCAAACCTTCAGTCTCTCCAGCTAACAGTATGGATGCTTTGTGGATGCTTCATGGCTAAACCTGAAGAACAGGCATGCTCGTTGGAGGTGCAGCAAGTCCTTTTGGAGAACAGAAAGTCCTCCAATGCGGTTTCTTACATGGTGAAATGGACCCGATGTTTTGTTTGGGCAGCACAGAAAGGAGGAAGCCCCTCTGCAGATGATATTGATCTACCTCCTTCACCTGAAACACTCAGGTCTGGCTCTTGAATCAATCAAGATCCACTTAGCCACAATCTCAGCCTTTCATCCTCCACTTCAGGGCCAACCTGTATTCTCCCACAACCTCACGGCTAGGTTCTGTCTCAGCTGATGAGTCCATCGTTTGAGCCGCTGGCCTCTTGTTCCTGGTCTCATTTGTCTGTGAAGGTGGCCATCTTGGTGGCAATTACATCAGCAAGGAAGGTATCCGAGCTTTCAGCGTTCACCTGAGAACCACCTCACATGGCCTCCTTTAAGGATAAGGTGCAGTTTAGACTGCATCCTGCTTTCCTCCCTAAGGTGGTTTCAGCCTTCCATTTGGGCCAGGATATCTTTTTCCCTGTCTTCTATCCTAAACCACATAAGACCAGTGAGGAGAGATGCCTCCATATCATGAACATCAGGCATTTGCCTTTTACCTAGACCACACGTGATCCTTCCATAAATCCTCTCAACATATGAAAGGTCTTCCGGTTTCTTCACAGAGGATCTCCAGATGGATCACCTTCTGCATCGGAATGTGCTACAAGCTGGCAGGCATCCAACCTCTATCATTCGTCAAAGCTCACTGTACCAGGGCATGAACCTCTTTGACCACCTTCCTAATTAATTTCCCAATTGCCAACATCTGTAAGGCAGCAGATGTGGTCTTTGGTCCACCCATTTACGTCTCATTACCGCTGTTATGCAGCAGGCCAGAGGAGATGCAGCATTTGGTAGTGCTGTCCTCTCTTCTGCATGTTCATAAACAGGAGAAAAGAAAGAAAGCTGCATTAAACTCCTGCATACCTTTGCAGATGCTGCTTAGAGTCACTCAGGTTGAATGGACATGAGTGATCACTCAAAGAAGAAAAGACAGTTACCTGTTTCTGTAACTGGTGTTCTTTGAGATGTGTCACTCATGTCCATTCAACATCCCCCCCTTTTCTTTCCCTCTGTCTGAGTTTCCAGCAAGAAGGAACTAGAGAGGGAGAGGCCCAGGAGCTCCCTATATAGTGCAGTATGTGTGCACCACTCTAGGGAACACTGAGACCCGGTTCCCTACAGATACTGCTGAGAGAAAATCTACCGGTGCATGTGGTGAGCACACATACCTACGCTGAATGGACATGAGTAATACATCTTGAAGAACACTTGCTACGGAAACAGGTAACTGTCTTTTATTGTTCCAGGAATGAAAAGAGATGGGAATTACTATTTCATTTCCAGGGACACACTGCACTTTCATTGTATGTGCACAACTCTTACATACCCTCAGGCAAAATTTAACTACCATTTGCCTTTTTTTAAAAAAGCACATCAGATTGATAAAAGAACAGTCATTCTAGTAGTGTACTGCTTATTTGTTTGTTTATTTATGACCCAGTTCAGCAACTTTGCCTGTCACCTTTCGCTGTGCAGAAGACAAAAACCATATTGACAAAAGAATTACCAGATTTGTTTTACCAGTCGGAGCTACAATCAACATGGATGGAACAGCCCTCTATGAAGCTGTGGCAGCTGTTTTTATCGCACAGCTTAATGACTTAGATATGGATATTGGCAAAATAGCTACCATTAGGTGAGGGTGATGCCATTACATGAGTGTTTTATATTGTTACTGAATTGTGGATTTATTTCATGCGCTCTAATGGAATTTTGCTGATTTCATACCTATCATTCACACCACTGAGCAGTAAAGGTTACATTTGCACCTCTTTGACAAATCCTCAGTAAATAGGCTTTGTTCAGGGGACCTGTGTTCAAATTTGAGGTGGGGAATGAGGAACCCAGAGCAACCCACTATCTATGACTCCCACCCCACCCAAGTTTCGCCTCAGTCCTGCTATTTAGTCAGATTCTAAGCGTGCTGGGGGGGTCTATGTACTTGCTCTGGACAGCAGAGCCAAGGACAGGTCAGGTCTACTCCTAATTGTCATCAGCCACTATGTCAACAATAGCACTGATAACATCTGCAAATGATCGAAACCTCCTGGGGCCCTAGATTCTACCTGCCTCTGTGCAGGTATAACTCCCAGTAAAGTATGGGACTGGCAGGAAGCAGGGGTTTTACAAATTAGTTTTGTATTTCAATAAATATACATGTCTGAATGTAGCAGAAAAATTCACTCAGGAGGAGGATATTCTCAAACTGTTTTTTTGCTGATTTGTCTGGGATTTAGTGTCACAGCTACTGCAGCCAGCATCGGAGCTGCAGGGGTTCCCCAGGCTGGACTAGTCACCATGGTGATTGTGCTGAGTGCAGTTGGGCTGCCTGCTGAAGATGTTACCCTGATCATAGCAGTTGACTGGCTTCTGTAAGTTTAATATATTCAGCATTTAACTATTTCATTAATGTATCTTATACATAGTGCATGAACATCTATGACCAGACTTTTAATCCTGTGTTTAGTTCTCCTTCTGTCTAGGCTGTTCAATACAATGTTTAAAAATTAACTAGAAATAAAATTGATCAGAGATACCAGTGCCACACCTCTGATTTGACATACAATTATATCATAGATTCATGGGACCTGGAAAGGTCATCTAGTCCAACCCCTTGCACTCAAGGCTGGAGTAAATATTATCTAGTTCAGTGGTTCCCAGACTTTTTGGCATCACTCCCCCTTTTTGATTTTTGAGAAATACACACACACACACACACACACACGGTCCGCCCGCCCCTCCCCTCCTCCCCGCAATAGCGGCAAAACTTGTTGAGCAAAAAAAAGGAAATGACCAGGGCCAAAAAACAAAAATAACAGCAAAACTTATGGGGGAGGGGGAGGGTGACTGACGGGCGAGGGGGCTGGGTTGCCTCACGCCCTCCCTGGAATTTCTTCATGCCCCCCAGTTTTGGAACCCATGATCTAGTTCATTCCTGAAAGCTGTTTGTCTAATATGCTCTTTAAAATCTCCAGTGATAGAGATTCCACAACCTCCCTAGGCAATTTATTCCCTAGAGGATAAAGATCATTGTTAATTAAAACAAATAACAGTGTTAGCAGAAGTTGGCCCTCTTTTATCTTTATTTTATATTTTATTTGAAGATGACATAGAAGACCAGATTTTTATAAAACAAGGACATAGATCCATACACACAATACATACAAAATACTCAAATCAATTACCACAACTTCATATGCACATCAATGTTTAAATACCTGTTTTTCACACCGGAGTGCCACTCTTTGCCAATGTAGTAATGATAATTGCATTTGCAAGAGTAGATAAGAAAATGGCCTCAATCCATACACACAATACATACAAAATACTCAAATCAATTACCACAACTTCATATGCACATCAGTGTTTAAATACCTGTTTTTCACACCAGAGTGCCACAATTCACCAATGTAGTAATGATAATTGCATTTGCAAGAGTAGATAAGAAAATGGCCTCAGTTCATGAAAATCTAACTCAAAATATACAGGCTACAAAATGTAAGTGAAAAAAAGAACTGTAAGAAAAAATACCCATATCAGTCAGTGGTATTTGTTATAGTTGGGGCCCTACCAAATTCATGGCCATGAAAAACGCATCACAGACTGTGAAATTGGTCTGCATACCCTGAAATCTGGTCTTTTACCTTATACAATACAGCTTTCATGGGGAAGACTAGCTTTTCTGAAATTGGAAGTTGCAACAGGGTCACAAGTTTATCCTTGGGGAGGGGGGGGAGAAAAGGGTGAATCACCATATTGCCACCCTTATTTCTGTACTGCCTTCAGGTTAGGTCTACACTTTAGAGTTTTTGCGCAAAAGCTTGCGGAGTGTCCACACCTCAAGTGCATTTTTGTGCAAGTAAAACAAAAGAACAGTGGGGGGTTCCCGGAATAGGTATTCTACGAGGAATAACTCCTTCTTGTGAAAGAGTTCTTGCACAAGAAGCCTGTAGTCTATACATAGCCTCAGACTTGGCGAGGCTCCCAGCTCTGAAGGTGGCACCCTGCCAGAATCAGCGCAGATGTAAGGATGGCAATACCATATCATTTATAGTTCTATGCTGCTGTTGGCAGTGATTCTGCCTTCAGATTAGAGATGTGAATGTATACCTGTGTACACCTTTGACCGATGAGCCTGAGCTCATCAGTTAACCCTCTGGGTTACATGCACCTCACCGCTGCGCTGCTGCCTCTTAAGCAGCATGGGGAGATAGGTGGCTCCATGGGATCTGCCTCCCCACAAGCATCAGCTCCTACTTGCCCCCCCTCCCTGCTGCCTCTGATACAGAGGTAGCAGGGCGGGAGGGCACCCATGTTCTGTCTAAGCTGTGTGGAAGCACAGCCCCACAGCTGCTTAATGAGCCCCACCCAACCAGGGGCTCAAGACTTGCGCACGAAGCTGTCTGGCTTGGGGAGGGGCACTTCTCCCTCAGTGACAGCTGTAGCTCTCTTCTGAGGACAGAGCAACAGGCCCCTCCCAGGCTATAGACACACATCCCCTCCTTACCAGCTGGGAAAAATTCACTGCTCTGTCCTCAACAAGGAGTACCTTTAGGTGAAAAGAAACAGTTTCTTCTACCTCCACTTTCAGTAAGGGATTACCTTTCTTTTTTATTTCAATATGGCAGTTTATCAAGTCATACTGATATCATTATTAAAAAAGGATGCACAGAGTTACAACATCTCAGCAAGTTTCTTTGTCTTCCTCATGCTAATCAGACTTTTATTTGATTTACTGTTCACTAAGTCTACTCATTATCTGATGATGGGGACAGACGTATCCCATCCAGAATGGGGAGCCTATCTAGCACAATTCACAACTGTTTACGACAAAAAATTGTTTGGAAGAAGTCAGAATGCTTTTATCAGAAAAAACTCCTCTGGGAAGTGCCATGCCCTTCAATACAAAGATTTTTCAGCACTAGTGATGCTCTTTAGATGGCTATTACTGTGCTACCTATAGTAGTAATGTGGCCAGTATCAAATTCAGGAATCTTAAAACCTTTATAGTACCACATACCATATATTTCATAGGGCAGATTTTCAAGAGTATTCCCTGGTACTCTGGAATCCCCTAAAGACGTTTGTTGTCACAACTGTTAAACCAGGACCTGTAATCTAGTTAACATCAGCAATGTGAAATTACTTGAAATAAGAGCATCTAAAGGAAAGAGCTTCATACACATGGAAAAAAGGGCTGTTCCCAAGGATTCAGTATGCAGCTGCTCCCCGAGTTGCAAACGGTTGAGTTAAACCATTCGCACTTACGACCAAAGCTCCCATAGAGCGTTCGTAAAAGCAGTCCCCGAGTTACGAACGTGACCCCACGCTTACGAACAGCACAGTCGCGTGTAACTCAATGGGGTCCGAGTTACGAACAGATCGAGTTACGGCCAAGTGTTTGGTTCGTAACTCAGAATGAGGCTGTAATCACAGAATTCTACACGATGTGCTTTTAACCTGTGAGCTGTTATTTACAGCCCATTAAGTTTACTGCACAGTGCCTGTAAACTGGTAATATTCCACCTCTTTTTAAGTTGTTCTTTTATGTCTTACACAAATTCTTTCCTCCCTTGAACTTTGGATCATGCAATCAGACATTTACATGCACTAAAATTTGATTTCTTAATAATAAAACAATAATAATCCATTTTAATGCAAATGATAGCTACAAACTTGTGTATCTATAAAGTAAAATCCCTTTATCAGCAAAGCTGTAATGATAATGACTAATAATCGCATCTGCACAGCAGAGAAGAGGCTGTTGCTTCTGCATTGCTTAGCTCTGAAATGAATCTGTGCCAGAGAAAATATTTTTGATTGAATTCAGCTATTTAAGGTGATTGATTTTTAAAAATATCATTAATGTTGGGCTGATTTTTCCACTAACGTATTCAGGTGGAGTTAAATGATGGTTGTTGTAACATGGGTGTACTATAGGCAGAGCTGTTCTGATCATGGATGGCTTGGGGTAAACATCCTATGCCCCAATCTTTGGGATCCCCATGGCAGCCGCCTCAACAGTCCTATGACGGGACCTTTGGAATTACCTGGGGGACCAAGCATGGTGAAGTGGAGCACAGCAGGCTAGGAGGAGATGGCAGGACAGAGTGGAGCAGGCTGCCAGGTCGCTCCAGCTCCTTCCTGCCACTGGTGAGTTTCATAGAATCGTAGAACTGGAAGAGACCTCAGAAGGTCATCAAGTCCAGCCCCCTGCTCTAGGCAGGACCAATTCCAACTAAATCAAGCATGGTGAAGTGGAGCACAGCAGGCTAGGAGGAGATGGCAGGACAGAGTGGAGCAGGCTGGGTCACCCTGGGGAGAAGGTGCTCCTGGAATAGCACGCTGGGCGTCTAGAGGACTCCTTCCAGGCTTTAGCAGCAATGCTACAGAGGCTCAGGACTCCATTTCCCAGGGTGCCGTGGGGCCAGGGCAGAACTAAACAGAGTAGCAACACCACCAGAACTGGCCACATGCCAGAACTCCAAGACAAAGGTTTGGGTTTACCTTCGGTTCCGGCTGTGATCGGCGGAGTCAAGCAGAGGGTAGTGTTACTTCTGGGAAGAATGCTTCTAACACCTCCACGTTCCTACCTAAGTGCAGACTGTGAGTCTTTTGGGGATTCCTGAGACATTGGACCATGTCATCTCAGCACACCCCAGAAACCCAGAAGACTGAGGAGAGCCATGGTGATGACTGAATTGGGGTCAGTCCTGCTTTGGGCAGACAGTTGAACTCAATGACCTTGTGAGGTCTCTTCCAACCGTAGGAGTCTACGATTCTAACTCATCATGAAACATCTTTCCCTGGCTGAGAATTAGACCCCCGCTGCTGCAGTAAAGAGCTCCAACCCCTAACCACTAGACCATCGGGGAACCTGAGCCAAGCGCTTGAAATCAATAGGAAAGTTTCCACTAACTTCAGTAGCAATTGGGTCATATCCAAAGGGACAAATACATAGTGCAATTGAAACCTGTTACTGTTTAACTCTGGGTGACCCTTTCTTGTCATGAAAATGCCATGCAATAGAACTTCCTCAACGTAACAGAAGTTGTAACAGTTATATGGCTTGTTCCTAGCCCATTTTTCATGCCTTCCTTGAAACTCGGTATGTACTCGGTTGGGAAGTGTATGTTCTTGCTGGTGAAACAGGAAAACAAAGTCTACAATGTAATCAAAAAAGCCATTAAATCTGCCATCTCTAAAAAAAACAAAAGATTAACACTATTTCCTTAATGCCAGGTCCTACTTAAATAACACTCAAAGTGTTAGATTGTTTCAGAAATTTCAACGTATGGAACCAACTATAAAGCAAAATGCCCTTGGAAAGTAAAACTGATCTAGAATCTGCATCAAGACAAGGAGCTTAGGA